ACCCACTAGTCCAAGCCACCAAAGCTAAGTGAAGGCTGAATTGATTGGTCATAACCATTTTGTAGATTAAAGGTTTGCAAATGGCCATGTAGCGATCAAAAGACATGATTGTGAGCATAAGGAATTCAACCCCTCCCATTATAAAGATAGTGGTAACCTGTGCCATGCAACAGCGAAAACAGATAGTATTTTTGCCCAAGATGATATTCATCAGCATTTTGGGGACTTCTGCTGATGTAGAGCAGATCTCAGCGATGGAGAAGTTGAGGAGGAAGAAGTACATTGGTGTATGGAGCTTGGGTTCTATGATAACAACAAAGATGATTAAACTGTGCCCCAGAAGTGATAGAAGATACATCAGTAGAACTATGGAATAAAACACCATTGTCAGTTCACGGAATTGTGGAAATCCCACAAGGATAAATTCTCTGAGCAAAGTTGCATTGTCCATCTTCTTCTTTCCTGTAATAAAAAGAAGACAATATGTAAGGAGAAAAATATCTTGCTAAATCAAGAAGGGTGGGCTAGATTTGAGTGTTGCAGAACTATTGGGTACACAGGATTAATATCTGAAATTTCAGATGAGGATAGTTTTTATAAACTCAGATTATTATCCTTCAATTACCTAAATAATCAGGCAACTTTTACGAGCACCATGCCTGTCATTGAATCTGGCAGATGCTATTGCAAATCTCAGCAACTGTCTCCATCTTCTGTGTGTATCAATCAGATCCAAGAAAATGGAAATAAAATTCTCCAGTCTCCATGCTCTTGGGATTTGCTACATGTGAAAAATGGTAGATATTTGTAATATTTGGAGGGGGGGGGGAGTCAAAACATCTTCAACCCACCCCTTAAGAAAACATGCATTCTTTAATAGGTCCAAAGACTTGGGGGGTTCTACTGTCACAAGAGATTAGGATGTTTAATGTCCAGTTCTACCATCAAACAGCTTCTCTACTGGGACTAGATATCAGGAACATATCATCTGTATCATCATCTATATTTATCTCTCTGTCTCTCTTTCTATCACTATCTATCATCTGTATATGGATACTCTATTAGCATTTAGCTTTCTACACATAAAGATTTTCCCCTTTCTGCAGAGAAAATGTTAATCTTTTCTCACAAACATCAGTGTTGCAGATATTGGTAAGCATCACAGACCTTAACCATGATAGTGAAAAATAGTTACAGTCCATATTAAGTATATATCGATGCTCCTACCTTCTTAGCCACCTTCAGAAATGTTCCCTTTGTTCATATTAACAAAGAAAGGCTCTCTATATAACTCTGCTTATTAAGAGTGTATCACTGGAAGATTTTTTTTTCCCCCTCATGCAACCTCTTCACAGTTCCTCAGGGATACTGCAACTGATGTAAAAGTTTTCTTCATGCCAATTAGTAATTCAGGTATAGATATTTTTAAAAAACAACTTTCAAATAATGGAAATGGGTCATCTGAAAAAATGCTGGGTCCAGTGGAGAAATATGGATTGGTGTTTGGGATGGACAGACTACTTAGAAGGTTTTGCTTTCAGATGTTACTCTGGGACAATTTCAAATGTGACTTGGTGAGGAAGGAAGGAAGGAAGGAAGGAAGGAA